ACACATACACACATACACACATGCACACATACACACATACACACATACACACATACACACATACACACATGCACATACACTTACACATACACATACACACATACACATACACATACACACACACGCACGCACACGCACACAGACATACACACACACACACACACATTGTGCTTTATATATATAGATGAGCATTTCATTGCTTTTGCACGTGAATGTATTCTAAGCTACAACTCTTGTGATCAATTCATTTTGAGACCTGTTCCAGTGCTAAGTTGTTTTAACTGCAACTACAATGATTTCCTTGGAATAACTGCAAAGTGGACAGTCTTGCAACATATTTTTCTTCTCTGTTTCACATGCTTCTCTTAGCGTACGATTTTTTTCGAAGATGTTAATAGAGACTTGTTGGTAGTAGTTTTATGGATTTATTGGTATCTACATGTATTTACATTGGTAAATGGTACATAAATCATAAGAGCAAGAACCGTTCATCATTCTCCTTTCTTCTCCTTCTTTCTCATGCGATATTGAGAACGCTGAAATTCTCTGTTAGGGACTTCTCGAGAATGGATTAGGAAATACTCACCGTGTAAAGCTCTGCTTAGGAAACGGTTTTGCTCCCTGCTCAGAAATCTCTGGTCAACAGCAAGGGAGGTTCCGACAAAGAACTGCGCAATCTTATTGTTGATGCTCGATCTATGAGTTCATAGATCTCCTCAAGCGATTCCATTGCTTGTTCAGTGTCGGTATTTACAACGATATTCACGTGGGCGTTAACGAGGGAGAATTTCTAAAAGGAAATTGATTTTATCGTTTAATAGGTAGCATAAGTGAGCCCACGCTTTCAGTGTCGCCTCTTAATTGATTTCGTTGTTCTCTGCACTCCTGTGCTTCTGTAGCTTTTGAGATAGATGGCACCGTTTCCAACGTATGCATTATGCCTTCAACTTCTTGGCTGGGAGTTCCACCAACGTCTTCATTGCTGGGTGCAGTAGGAGTACGGGCTCTTGGGCAGCATGAGGTCCTCCGTAAAGTTTAACCGCATGTTTGTGGAGACAACTAATTCCAGCTCTGCTGTCCAAGCAGGTGCAATCTTAGAAATATGGACAAACATTACATACAGGAGAATGGGCATTTTCTTTTAGCGCGAGAGAACATACGCATCTATCTTGATGGCTGATTATGTAAATCTCTTGTGCGTTCTTCCCTTCTACTTGCCATTTGTTCTCTTTTATTATCTTGATCTTTTCTGGCTTGCCTCCGTAATGTTTGCAACTCTGCTGCAGGCGACAAGAAGCTGCAGCTAAACGCCGTCGGTCCTGAATTTTTACGTAAGAACTGCATCAGAAATTTTTTAAAAAGATTATTCTGAGTTCAGCCGATTGAGCGCGATAGCTCAAGTCTTGCTCTAATGAGAAGATCG